ACAGCACCTATGTAAGATTTATCATTTTTATAAAACTATCACTATAGAAACATTCTTAGTCTGTCATTTTAACACTTCACCTTTGCTCTTTCTTGGAAACTGTTTTTTCCTTAAGAAATAGCCTTGAAAGTCTAGCAAATTTAAGCAGAAGGAAAAGGCATTTTATATAATGCTTTCAAATTCCTGTAGCAACTTTTGAGTTGATTAAATAATTGCTGGTTATTCTTCTTACTGGAAGGGGAGGATACACTCCTTGTGCAGTTAATTTTTCTGGAAGAGGATTTACATTTGTTAGTGAACTTTGTTGCATGAAAGGCACTGATTGAACTCCATTGTACTGTAACATAGCTGGTTTCAACAGAATTGCTGTGCCTTTATGTATATAAATCTTGTACCTTTGTGATTTTCTTTCAGAATGAGTTTTTGAGAGGTGAGTAAACTTGTAATTAAGATGGTTTCACAAAATACTATGGTGAGACCTCTCTGTGCACCTGATGGGACTCAGTGCTGAAGCTGAGAAATGCACTTGTTCAAAAATGCAACTTGTGCACTTGCAAAAAGGACATTTGCCTGAAGCAACATTTGTATATATTTTACAGTATTTCTTAATGGAAGATAACTGTGCATAACTGTATTGTTTGCTAAGAAGCAATTGATCACATTGATAAGCTAAATTAAATTTTAGTTTTGAGAACACTTTTGGATCATAAATGATAATTACTTGTCTAAAACACTATAATAAAAGTGTTCTGGTTCTGTGAAGGTTTTTCTATGGTCTCTGAACTGCATCAACATGATTCTGGCTTTAAGTGGAATATGCACTGGGCTAATGAGATAAGAACTGTTGATACTTGAAACAGATGACAAAGCCTGAAAATGCAGTTCCCAGTTATGACTTCCCAGATATTCCTGAGCCCTGACTCTGCTGGAGATTATTTGCCCCTCAACTGTGCTGATTTAGAGGGGCTGTTCATTGAACAGAAACAACAATCATCTTGGCTAAAAAAAGAGAAAAGCAAAATACCTCCTAATAGCAAAACCAGGATAATTGTGTGGGGGACAAACTTCATATAGAGACTTTGCTGCTAGAGAAACTGTAGCAGGAAACCTCAATGAACCTACTGTTGTCGTACCATCTGCTGTTTAGGATTGAAGTCAGCAGAGATAGAAAATTCATAGGAGAGCCTTCCTCGGGTTTTGGGCGTGAAAAATGCAGGTGTTCTTTCTCTTTCAAGGAAATAATGGACAAACTATGAATTTGTCAGGTAGTGGGTAGGAATGTGTAAGTTAATATATTTCATATATCCAATACAAGGTGAATTTTTTTTACAAGTTATTTTGTAAAAATCTAATAAAAGGCTTTTTATTCCACAATGACTTTGTCCTCTGTAGGGTTAGTCTTACACATCTGTCCCTTAGCAGGCTTTCTGTGTACTCCTGTGAGCTCTGATAAATACTCCTTTCACTTGAGCTATAAAGCACCACAAAATTCATAATAGTTCCTTTTGGACCTTTGTCTTAAACTCAACATTAAGTAAAGACTTTTTCAAGTTTGCATTCCCTTGTCTGTAACTGGGTGCCCAAGTGCTGCTCTTCAGCACAGGAGGAGAAATCATAATGTGAACATAGTATAAAATGTTACTGACTGATTGTAGTTCAGTTGAACACCAAGGCTTATGTCCTCTCTGAATGAGGTGTGCACTTTATCCTTTTGATAACTGTCAAAATTGGGCATAATTCTATTATGAGTTCTTTCTTTACAGGTCTTTGATGAACAGGAATAAAGGCATTGCTGTTTTGAGTGAATAGGGCTGCTGATCTAGGGCTACTATCAATATCAATCTCGTGTTTTGTTAAAAGTTACATTTGAAATCCTTCAGCTTTAATCTCTGTAAAAATCTTTCGGTAACAGACTGAGAAGTGTGGTAGGTTTGCAGGCTTGCTTGGTTTTTATTCAGGGGTAGTTAGTATGTTGTATCTGCTCTAACAAAATTGCATCCCCTCCTTAGAAACGGGTTCTGTTGGAATCACTCTTAGCAGACAAAAAAACCCAACCCACCACTCAATCCTTAAACTCCTTTTTCCTTGCTAACACCTCAATAGGAGCTGAAAGTCCTCCATCCAAGAACAGTGACATGGTTGTGCACACAGACCTAAGAACTCTGCTCCATGGGGGCAGACCAAGGTCCATCTCACCCAGAATCCCACTCCACAAGTGCCCAGGAGCCATGCCCAGGAAAACAGCAAGAACATGATGAGCATAAATGACACTTTCTCCCCAAATACTCTTCCAGTCTCCCAACTATTTTCAACATAGAGCACTTCCAGAGCCTTACAAAAGTTCTACACACAACAGCTTTGAGTGTCTTTCCACCTGAGGACTTGTCCATGTCAGTAAACTTCTGCCACCCACATGTTTTAGTAGAGAAGTTCCACAGTGGTTTTTTTTCCCCTAACCGTAATAAGAACCACCACTTTTTTTCTTTTCTTAGGCTTTTTCCCAGCTTCACGTGTTTACTCTTAGTCCTGACATTGGGCAAGGTGGTGAACAGCCTGCCTCCATCCAGCCTTTCAGTACTGCTCATAATTCAGGAGACATCTGTAACATCCAGTGCACACATTAAATCTAGCAGGGAGTCAGCAGTTTCAGCTCATCTTACCTTTGATCAGCATCTTGGCCTGTATGGGGACCTTTGCTATGTCTGTTGTGTCCTTCCAATGAGGGCACATGGAGGCAGGTGAACACAGATTTATACGTTGTGATAAATTTGTGATAACACCTTTTCCTGCCCTCTGCTGTGGTTTTCACACCCTGCCTGAAGTTGCCATGGGAAGAGCAAAAAAAAACCAAAAAACAAACCACCACGCACAAATATCTCAAAGAAAAATCGTACAGCCCATCTTAGTTGAATGGCCAGCTAAACTCTTGCAGGTTTGTAAAGCTACCTCTCAGGAATCATCTAGGGTGGTTTTTTTCACCTAATCAAGAGTGATTGATGGCAATTAAGTTGTTCCTACATTAAAAAAAAAAATAATGCATTGCCACTTTCTGTAAGTAATGGCTGCAGCTGCAGCCCTTGAAATTTATTTCATCCAGCCTTTCTTCTTTAAACAATTTTACTCTAACTTCTTTGTATTTCCCTGGCAACAGCTAGATGTGTTTAACTGGTGGCTGCTTCCCCCACTTGGCCTTTTGTCATTCTTTTGCAAGAAAATGGCCTTATGTGTCACCTTTCATTTTCTTTTTCTCTGTTTCTGCAGTCAGCCTTCACTTGTGAGACTTTTTGTAGGACAAGAGACCACTGTGTTGTGGTAAGGCTGCTTTTGAACTGACTGTTACAGCAGGCTAAAATGCATAAGCACCTCAGCATGATACACAGCTGAAAAGGGTAAAGTGTCACCAAAACAGAACTACAAACCATTACCTAGAGTGCCAGCTGTATAAGAATATTTTATTGGATGGGGGAGCTTGGGAAATACAGGCTTATAGCATTTCTAAGAAGCCTTGTATAGTTAAGAAAATAATTTAGAACATAAATAAAGTTTAGATACATCGGGTAGTGTTTTCAACATATATAACATTAGATCACATAACACAAAAAGTACACAAATACATGCCACCACCTTTGCTGAGGGCTAATCTTCTCAACTGTATTTATCCTTCAGCCTCTGGGGAAGTCCACTTTCTGTTGATCCACGTGGTGGATCAAGTCTCCAGCTTGGCCTTTCTCTGCTGTAGTGGATGAGCTATGCCAGTGATGAGAACAGCCTGAAGACAGCACACAGTGCAATTTCTCCCCTCTGAATTATTAAATTGAAGTTCTAAATTAAGTGGTGCATTCATCCATAAAATGATATTTTTTTTTTAAAATCCAGGAGCCTGATTTCCATAGCTGAATATGCCTGTGGTCACTGTAATAAGTATCAGAGGTAATTTAAGGTACACTAGAGAGGGAGCACTTAACTTGTACACGCTGCTTCTAAGAGGTCTCGAACATTAAACTCCTTTTGCTTTCTGTGGGCCTATTATCTAGACATTTTCTAAATCATCAGGTCTGTTTTATGGAAAAATAAAATGTATGTGGCCAGTACTACTCGCATGTACTCACTTAATTTCAGTCCTGGGAAAACAGTCGAAAGTACATATATGGTAACGGGCTAATTCCAATAACAATGAGGAGGGCTGATGAGATGGCTGGATAATCTATCCCTGGTGAGTACTAGAGTCATTAACTGAGTTTTCTCAGTGCCTGTCTGATAGGTGGAGCTCTGGCACTGGTATTTTTTTCCCTAGATTATCTCTGTAGGCTGGAGGATGACAAATATGGGATTATTTTCAATTAGTGGGCTTTAAAAGTGCGGGAATGTGCAGTGCAATAAATGCTTTGTTTGGATACTTATTTCAGTGTTCTTTTTAGCTTAAAACACTGTCTCTGGTGTAAGTATGTCCACACATGGTTTTAATCAGAAAAAAAGTACAATACAGAGAAAGCCCAACATAATAAGTCCCTTGATAATTATTTTTCCCCCCTCAGGTCACAAGGTCTTAAGGTAAAAGGTAAATTGTATTCCCATTTTTATAGCTAAGCCTATCCAAACCAAACTTCAAGGCACATAACAAATTAGCAAGAATTATCTTCAATAACAAATATTAAAAAAGACACTTCTGCTTGCTACCCTTTTAAGGCAGTCAAATGTTATGCTGAGACAGAACACACAGTAGGAACAGTGTTGACACCTCTGTACTAGTAAACTTGCCCTACCATAAGTAATGACAGCAATTATGGCTTTAAATATACATTGTAGGATTTAAAATTAGGCCCTCCACAGCACACTACACCTGAAGCTGCCTAGCTTGTGAGAGAAACAAGTAGTTCACTGATTTTTCTCTTTTTTATCTTTCTTTTCTTTTTTGGTTTTTTTTTATTTTTTTAACAACATAGCATTTACAATATGTACAAAAAGCAAAACAGAAATCCCCATCTGTACATGGAAAAGCTTTACCGGCACTCATGGTGCTCCTTGATGATGGAACTGAAGGTGTTCTGGTGTAAACTCGTCTTCACTCTTTTTTCCCTTTGTCTTCTGTTGCAAAACCAAACTCTTACGACTTCTTTCTCAAGGTTGAGCCCCTCGGCCATCCTCATGATTTCTTGAGAAGAAGGTTTGCTTTGTTCTCCAAAGTGCCTCTCTAGGGCTTCTTTGGCAGCGATACTGGAGAAAGGGATAAAATTTCGCCTTTAGAAACTTTTCTGGGCGTTCAAGCTTTCACTGCTGGCTCAGGGGAAGGGTCAAGGGACAGCACTGAAGGCAGTGACTTGGTTTGTTTCCTCTTTTTTACATAAAGGAAACCCACAGTTTCTATAGTTCTCTGCTGACGTGAACAGCATGACATGATGCAGAATTTCAGCACACAGTCATTAAAAGGCAAAACTAGCATGAAGTTCAGTGCAATTTCAGTGTTAACTATGAATTATTTGTGCTTCTTGATGCTGTTTAGGAGATACAGCTATTAACTAGCCATAAACGGGGCACAGGAATTGGAACAGTCTGTTCCACTCACAGCAGGGCCGTAGGGGTTCAGCAAATGCTCATCAGTGGCATTACCTGGTTGTATCAAATCATTTGGATTTATAAATGGGAAGATTTGAGAAAAGGTGTGTGCTGTATCAAATTCTGCATCTCATCGTGTTATAAAGAGAGCACTAGAGTGTTTCTAGAAATCGCAGAGGTTCTGGCAAGCTGTTTTAGCAATCACCACACTTTCCAAAATTCTGCCTTAACCTATTCCTCAGAGTCAGCAGCCACGAAAGTTGAGTGGTTCGCTAGACAAAAAAATTTAACACTATTATTTTTTCTTATTTTCAGATAGAATTTGCTTCTGATTTTTGTTACATAGTCTGAGAAAACACGGAGCATCTGTGACATGCTTTTGTGCCACAGGGACGCACCCAGAACAGCTTCAGCAGTAGCTGTAATTTCTTTGGACACAAGAGGGCACTTCATGTACTGTTCTGAAAGTGAGGTGAAGGTATTTCTGCCACAAAAATACACGCGGTGTCTGCTGGAGTTCTAACTTATTTCATTGCTTCATCTGTGTTATGCTGTTGGTCTCTCATTTACAGGTCAATTTTGCAATATTTACTAGTGTTACAAAAATTACCTAATTCACAGCATGGTCTTCTGCACACCCAGAATTACAGAAACATCATTATTTTTTACTAACACCTTCTAGGGCTTTGAGCAAAGTATTTAATAAAATAATTTCCACAAATTCAAATTAAGTAGTTTTTGCTCTGGATATGACTATTCTAATTTAGTTATTGGGGCTTTTGTTTTAGCATTAGTTAACCTTCAAACATCCACTAAGAATTCGTATAAAGCCCATCTCCCTGATTAGTTTCATGTCTTTAAATTGAGGTCCTATATGCCTTTAAAGGAGTAATTAATATTTTCTTACTGCATGGGATTTGGTCCTGAACTTCTCAATTATCTGTGTCCTTGGCAACCTGCCATATTTGATACTCCCACTGCAGCAAGCTTACATGTAAAAGCAGGAATAATTTGAAAATAATTTAAAAATAATTTAAAAATTAATAATTTCATAATTTTAAAATAATTTTAAAAATGCTTAATATGAGGACTGATTTTATCAATAGCTTTTAAAAAACACCAGACCTCAAGTTTCTGGCAAATTTATATGTGTTTTTTTAAATGTTTCAAAATGTATATGTTTATTTATACCAAAATAATGCAATTTATTTTTAATTATTAATAATTATTTAATAATAACTTATAATTATAATAAATATATATAATATATAATATGATACATATAATATATCGTATATAATTATATATTATATAATATTATATAATATTATATATTATATATTATTATGTATTATATAATATATCGTATATCTTATATAATATATAAGATATATAATTATATAATATATAATATATCTTATATATTATATAAGATATACGATATATTATATATAATTGTAATAAATATAATTTATAATTATTTAATAATACAATTATAGATGTAATGAAATTTTGACCGATCTGGAATAAAATATCTTTTCATACTTAAGTGTGTTGTTGAAAAAAAAGCCTTTGATTGGGAAAAATAATATCTTTGGAATAACTTGGGGTCTGATGGGTTATGCTGTTATTTTCCACAGACATGTTTCCAAATACTGAAACTTTTAGAAGCACTAGATGCAGATATTCATGAATGGAAAATAGCACTTCAATTTTGAACAGAAGAAAAAGCATCTTAGCGAAAGGGGTTTCTAACCTGTAAAGCCCTAAATATTTATTACCTTATGGTGGTTCTGCGCTTCCTCTTCCGCTCATTCACTCCAACTTTTTCATTATATAAAGCTGTATTAAAAAAAAAAAAGAAAAAAAAAAGAAAAAAGAGAACAAAACCTGGTAGTTTTTCCATTCTACAGGGAATGGAAAACAAGCAGAATCATCTCCAGAAAATCAGTCAATCTTTGAAGAGAGAAGAAAGCATAACAGAGAGGAGCATCACACATAGGATCTTTTCGTTGTGTAGGATGGTCAGTCATTGTTTTATCTCCAGCTATAAATGGTTATAAGCAAAAGTGGTGTGGCACCAGTAAAGATGCAGAGGAGCTGTGCTTCTCTTCCTTCCTCTGACACACCTTGCTCCTCCTGCCCTTCGGGGTACAGTCTGGGGAGATGGAGTCCGTTTCCCTACTGTCTCATCCTCCTTCAGAAACACAGCTTTGGCCCCCAGCCCCATTTATTCATCTGCCTTGTCCACCTCACCTTCTGATGGACAAGTCTCCGCTCTCTTCTCAGAGGCCACTGTCTGCAAACATGATCTGCCACTGTCTGCAAACATGATCTGCCACCCACCACAGCCCCTCACAAGCGATTCTTGCCGTGTGGCGACCACAACAGCAGAGCCCCTGGTTTCCAGCACAGTTACAGGGGGAGGAAGCTTTCTACACTTGGTTCAAAGGAAACTGAAGTGTGTGGCAGAATAACAACGTTTCCTACTGTTGAATACAATGCCAAATCCAAAAAAGTAGCATTAAGATCATCTTCCCTTTGTTCCCATGCCCAGCGAGTGCTGCCTGGTGGTTGTGCTTTCGCTGCCACCTCCAGGTTTGCTGCTTCCCAACATTGCAATTCATCCAGCTCAAAAGGCTGTTCTCAAAGGCAACCACTTCCTTTAAGTCAGCCAGCCTGTCCTAAAGTACTCTCTGCCCAGCGAGCCCTATGACTCTTCCTGCAACTGGAAATTAACTGGGCAAAGGGAAGAGCATTTTAGCTTACAACAAAAAACTCGATGCCATGCTATTCTTCTTCAGGGTTTAAAGCTCACTGTCACAGTTGAACTCAAATCCTTTTCCCCATGGCCATATCTCACATGCCAGAGTTTGGAAGGAAGACTCCTTTGCTAGTGAAAAATCCCTACTGCTAAAGGGGGGGTCCTGCAGGTCCTAATAATATGCTACAGGACTGGAGCTAGCTTGCTGGAATGGGACTGAAAGAAGTTTCTCCCAGCAGTCCAAGTGATGTTTCTGCTATTCTGTACCCTCCATACATTTCAGTTTGCCCCTCCTTGCTCACCCAAAAAAAGATAACTAAAATTTAAGACAAGCACACCTTAGCATCTAAATCTGGCAAAAAAAAAAAAAGCTTTAATCTATGGACTACACATAGTAGTCCTTGGGCATATATATGGCATTCTGGTTCAAATGCAAATCAATATTTAGATGATTTCAGTTCTCTACCTCCTACTTGTTCTGCTTCCTCCAGCCACTTGGACAGTATGGATTTCAGTTTGCAGGCGTTCTTGAAACTCAGCTGCAAGTTTTCAAAACGGCAAATGGTTGTTTGGCTGAATTCAGAGCCGTGCACAGCAGCCAGTGCTTCTCCAACGTTGGTTTGTGTGTAACCTGCCAAAAAACAAAGAGAAAAAAAAAGTAACTTCGAAGCTTTCTTGAGTGCTTAGACCTTCACTTCTGACTCCTGTGGACAGTGTGTGCCTGCAGTGCCTTCAGGATGAGCTCTCTCCAGAGGTCTCTGTGGCTGACTGAGCTCTCCTCAGAAATGTGTTCAGGACCTCAGTCTCCTGTTGGTTTCAGTGGAGCTTTACACTCCAAGATTAGGGATTTGAGAAGGATCCTGACACCCAGTATCTTTCTTTCTGTAGATGATGCAATGGTAATAAACTAATCCCTAGTGGCTCTCCTGTTGTTCGTTGCAACAACTAAGTTGAAGTGGTCAGAGAAATGCTGCAGTTTCCATGCAGACACTGACTTTGTCTCAGCAGCAACCTCTTTAGTGCTCTGAGCATATATCTGCCATGTTCAGGAGGCTGGATCATTATCCTCCTCTTCTGCCTCTGCACCAGAACAGGAAGGATCTCTTTGGACACTGAATGTCTCATGAGGCAACTTTTTACCTCTATTTTGGTTGCATTAACTCCAACTTTCTCAGTCTCAGGCACACAACCCATATTAACTTTGTCTTCCCTCGTAAAGCTCAACCTTCCTGTGCACATTGCATTTCTCCCATCAGAGCACTAAGCCCAGGCTCCATGTCATTTGCTTCCAGCAAAGGAAGTTTTGTTCCCTCAAAAATTCAGGATGAAGATGCAGTGACTAACAATGTGGGGCCTAGCAAGCACTTTCCATCGCCGTGCCTGACAACGAATACATGATATACAGGAAAATCAACCAGGTTCCTAATATTTTTAAACCCTCATTTCTTTTATTTCAGTTTAGACTGAAAAGGAAACACACCTGCTTTCTAGCTGTTGAGATAGTGCATAGATACCTCTAAACACCTTCCAATTTTTTTTAGATTTATGAAACTAGTAGGATTTCCTATGATTCTAATGTAATAATTGATAATGACAAAATCACAACTCTTCAGAGTACTCAGTATTCCTAAATGGGCTGCATCTGCACTGCTGGGTGTTATTTTTTTTTTTTTTCAGTACAATTCAAGCAAGGGTGAGGCTTTTACATTGCAATGTACCCCTATTTCCTACAGGTGAGAAAGACAAGGCTCAGTCTGCCTTTGTCCTCAGCTAAGATTGGCCAGTGAAAGACAAGCAGCTCACTGGAGACTCTCAAATGTGATCCATCTTGCATGAATCAGACAGCAACAAATACATCAGTTGCTGCTGTACCTGTGTCTTGGCACAAGAAAATAAATCAGGAAGAGAAGCTTCCTACTTGTGTGGAAGATTTCCCATGGCTGTCACTGGAATGACACTACAACCTCAGATGAAACTCTTTGTGGGGAAGAGGATGGGTATAAGAGGTTAGAGCATGTGCTGCCCTAAGTTGCAGATAATTTGGAGCCGTGCAGAATATTTCATCTGCTACTGAATGTAATTTATTGAACAGCAATAATTTTCTCTGTGCTTAAGACAAATAATTTAAGGGCAGGCAAGTTTGAAGTCCCTTCCTGCATACTAAGCTGCAAAAAGCTGAAGTTCATTAATTCCAATCAAGTCTTCTAGGAATGGAGAAAGTTTGGCAGTACAAGGCGAGATTAATGTTATGATCAGGCAGCTGAAGAGGCCAGACTATAAAACACTCAGAAATAATCAGGCTTTCACTGGAATTTTTCCACCTTTTGTTCGTGGACAAAAAAAGCACATACCCAGCTTAATTCTCCGCAGCTTAAATTCGTTGGCAAATTTCTCCAGCTCCCTGATCTCAGGGGAGTCCATGTCAACGGGGTCTTCCACGGACTTGCTTTTCCTGCGGAACTCCTGCTTGAAGTCCGTGCCAGTGGGATCATCTGTGAGGAGGGACTGGTGCATGGGAGTGAAGCCGTGGCCCAGGGCACAGGAGCTGGCACTCAGGGCGTGCTCCGGGAATTTATAGAGGCAAGGGGTCAGACTACCTGAGCAGCACCAAAGAGAAAACTCAGAACAGTTATTCTCTACCACTACACAGTAAAAAACCTCCCTTCACCATCTCATAATCCTGTAATATTCATTACATAACGTATGAAAGTATCTAAGAGTGAGGATCTCTTAGGAGGTACTGTCTCTTTCTTGTCCGAACTCATGAAAACCACTCAACGGTCATGGCTATCTTATTATTGAGTAAACAGAAGCACTTAAATAACATAGCAAATAGTCCAAACCTAAACAAATAAAATCCAAGGTCTAAACTGGAATTAAGGGGCACATCTAGATTGACAGATCTATGTCGTTTTAAGTCACCCAAAATTTGCCAGTCTCTACTTTCTGGTACAAAAAATATTTCCGTGTCAATGCCATGTGATGTATCCCATCTCGGATATGGGATACTCGGATGGGGTACTACCTTGGCTTGGCTTCAGCATAAAATTTCTTAGGGGAAAGCACAAAGGTAAAGACCTAAAGGCAAAAAAACCCTAAAACCCAAAACCCAGAACACATTCAAAATGATCCTTCTGGCTTAAAAAGAAATTACTCAAGGACAAACCAGAACTATCTTACATTACCTTTTGTTTACAAATATCAGACTTAACAAGGAGATTCGGTTAAGAGTGAAGGCTGGTTTTTCTCTAGGTATTGTACATAGAGCTAAAGAGTCTGTGACCTAAAGGAGGGGTGGGGGGAATCACTGGGGAAATATTAACACTCCTCGGTGTATCTGGAGCAGCCAGTAAATTCCAGGTTCTCAGGACACCCTTCCCAATTTTCTAAATTACACAAAACTCTTTAGAAGAACTCAGAACTTCATTAACCTCCACTTCTTCCTCCATTTATTGGGGTTAGGGTTGTCTTCACCACCCTGAATGCTCTCACCAGTGTTGGAGGTTCTAACCCCATACATGCCACACAGAGGATAACCACCAAAAAAAACCCAAAAAAAAACCAAAAAAAAGGAAAAATTTTTCTCAAAAAAAAAAAAAAAGGCAACCAAAAACAACTTAAAAAGAGGAGGACTTGCTTTGCAAGGTGCTGACACTGTTTACCACGTTGGGATGGGGCATGCTGCACGTCTGTAAGATGCGAGTCTGGGAGAGACTTGCCGACAGCATCTCTGGAGCTGAAGGTTTGATGCCTAAAAAAACCGAAAAAAGTAAGGGTAAAAAGAAGAAAGGAGAAAGAATAAAGATGTGTTTATTTTGGAAAGAAAGAAAGTGAACTTGTGAGCAATATATTTTGTTAAATGTCTATTAACTTTGCCAAGGGATCTGAACAACTCAAGGAATGTTTGCAACAGGCACATAAAAGCACAATGCAGTAGCAGCATTTGGACATTTGCACACCATGAAGGAAATCTACACTCTGTCCCTATGCAGATATATTCATCTAAGCTGACTAGCTTGAATATTTCCTTCGTTCTTAAGTGAAATAAAATTCTGAGCTTGATTTTGGTTTATTTCCAAATCACAATTATCTCCTGGGAGTTGTGTTAATTTGGTTCATGTCATTATCTCATTGACTGCTACTTGAATGGAATAGTCATTCTCACAGAATAACAGTTCCTCTTTCTTACTGAGCCTGGCACATGCAAAAATGAGCAGGATGCTAGCATACATTCATGAGTGTAAAAATCCATGACCATCTGTCTGATCTGCCTGCAGAATTCAGATATCTTTGCCTTATGCCCCATTTTATTTTATATCTTTGGTCAGGGCTTTGTCAGCCCAGGCACTGGTAATATACAGGTATATTGGATATGTCACTCCCGGTCCCTCAAAAAGTGATTATCACCAGGAAAAATGGACACAGGTTAGCAAAAAGAGCAGCACTCTCCCAGTTATGTAGAGAGAAATAAGATACAAAGTGATTTCATGAAAGATGCAGAGGTTTTGGGGAAACTCTGGGCACTGACCCTGATTTCCTAACCCTTTTTCTAGCGCCTTAATCCAAATCCCATCTCCTTTAAACAATCGTCTTGGATTGGTCCCTCTAAAGGGAAACTGCATAAAATCAACATGCAAATAGCTCACCCAGCTGAGGGTTGCTCTCTTACCTGCCATCACCCCGTAGGTGGATGGTTGGTTTCCATAATGACAGGAGGGCACAGAGTAATGAAGTCCTGCCAAGGCGCGTCCCGGCGTTGTCGTGGCAAAGGGAACACACAGGAGCAACACGAGTTTGGACCAAAGACAAAACAGATGGGACTGATAAGAAAACATGTGAGGATTCAAGACAGAGCCTTTAAGTTCAGAGGCAGAGAGTGCCCTTGTGCAGTTTTGGTGTGCAATCAGTAAGCATTTAGCTCTGGGCCATAACCATCAGGTAACACTTCTGGAAGTCCAGACAGTTTGCCAGGTCACAGCAGGTAAACTGCCAGTATAAATAGTGAGACACTCTCTGAGCTAAGACCAGAAACTGCCATGCTGTGGTCTTGTTGCATTGCTTTTAACATATTGTATGGTTATAACTCACTTTGCATACACTGCTTAGCGAGGGGAGCACTGAACTCTTTGGAGGAGACCACTTCCTCTCCTCACACACCTTTCACACACTGTCTCATTCAGTCTTACATAAAACCCAATTCTATGTTCTCAGAAAGTCACTTGCCTTCCCTGTCATGCAAACCCCACTGTGAACGAAGGCAGCAAGGAAGGCAATATTTTATACATGCCTAAGACCCGAGTTTCTGAAGGCAGCAGTGTGGGACACTTGCTTTGAGGCATCCAGAAGTCAGAATTTTTTAAGTGCCAATCCACAAAAAAAAACGTTTCAGAGTGCTTTGGCAAGGAGGTAGAGAAACATGATGGTAGATTCTGGGCTCCTGTAAAAAGTTGGGCCTAAATAAACACTTTCTATCAGCAGCAAACACACAATTAATTTGCCTCTTGCGTTTTCACAGGGCTATTTCAGGTCTGTGTTCAGTAATAGCCAGGGCCTGAAGAATGAGACCATTTTTTTGCTGACTGTGAAATAAGAGCTATGGCTCTTTCTCATGTATAAGTAGGAATAAAAATGCACATACTGTCCCCTCTAACAACTGCTATAAAATATAATATTAAAAATTAATGTTCACGAACATTCAGATGTGTAAAACCACATTTTAGAGAACATACTCCAGTTGTTCAAAACAGTATAATTAATTAGGGATTAGAATCCCTCTTTTTTACAACATTATTCGTAACAGTAAAATGTCCTGTTTAGATACACTTATACAGATATAAAATCTACTAAGACAAACATGCTTATACTAATATAAATGCACTGAAAATAAAGACTGTGTTAATAATTCTAATGCATGTAGAACGACACAACTTTTCTGTTGAGGTAAGATCTAAGTGTTTATTGGATTTTTTCCTATTATTACATAATCCACTGACTATTATTTTTATGCATGAAAATATAATTTTCAACTTGCTAATAAAGACTTAAAATTAAATGGTGAGGATGATCCTATTCAGATTAAATAATAACAATTAAAATGTTGAGGATAATGCAGAACATCAGCTGAATTACATGGCATAGTATTTGAAAAGAAATATATTCACCTTTTTGTGATGAAGAATTGCTACATCCATTTTTCAAAAAATTGACATTTAAAATAAGTTGTTATTCAAAATTCTTTCACTGTTTCACTGAGCACAAATTCTCCCTATATGCTGTCACAAGAATAGCATTGTTTATTACAATAACTGAATCTATGTATGAAATCTGTAAACCTTTAGTCATCATAATTGTTACTGCTTTCACGGGGTTATTTTTTTCACGAGGTTTGACCCTGTTTTTACAAGGTCATCTGCTAGATGTGATCCTGCAATCAAAATTTCCCAGGACTGCAGGGTCATTTTGTCCTTGGGAGGCAATTACAAAGTATCAAAACTTAAACTTGAAGCAGGTGAGCATTTGCTTTTGGCTGGCTGTCATCATGTACCTCTTATTACAAGCCAGACAAATCTAGAAAACACTTCTGTGATACAGATACATAAATTTGACCTCATACAAAATTTAAATTCTCCTATTCCCCACCACTCCTGCTAACCAACAGATATTTTGAGCCTCCTGCTTAATGTGCAAGATCCTGTTATCTATTACCAGTGATCAGTTTTCACTACTTACCTGCTTTTGCTTTTCGTTAAAATGTTTTATTACCAATGCATTTCAGGAGAAAGCTAGTTTCTTGTTAAGACTCCAAATAAAATTCTAACCTTAATGCCATTTCAAATAAATCAAACTATGTCTTCTTCTGTTCTGGAAACCTTTCCATCAACAATTCCTGCATTCCAGAATCCCACTTCTGTACTATTAAGGATGTGATAAAACTCTCTTTCTCCTTGTCTCTCTCTCAGATAGTTCAGTGATTGCATAGGCCGAGTATTTCAGTGCATATAATTGGGTTATATACACAAACATACCAAATTCAAAAATATTGTCAAGGCTTCTACTGCCAATTTTGAACATCCCACTTAAATCTTAGTCTTCATTCAGTATGCAATATGCCTTGAAAAGCAAGGTTTTTCTTTCTTTAAAGCTTCCCCAAGTGATATTTAGACCTGAGCTGTTTTAAATATATTTCCTATTTAAAGTAATTTATGTTATTTTAAATTGTGGTTATATAATAAGCTTTCAATTAATTTACATGACACTTCTCATTGAAGACTATATAGTCGTAGCAACAGTGACAATGTTTGAAGCTGTTTTAAATCAGTGTATTGGCAGCATATTTGAGCCTAATCTTGTAACAAATTTAGGGAAAGCTGCTCATTTAGCTAAAACACAAACATTTGTGATTTTCCTCGTTCACTCGTATGCAGAGTTTTGTGAAATTGCTTCTGCTTTAACATAATCCCAATCACACGTAACACTGACAACCGAGCACTTTAAATACTGCAGAACTTGATGAACCCAGATCATCCAAAAAGCATCACAAAAAACCCGAGAGTTACTGAGAGCAAGATTATTTTGAAAAAGTACCTGTAGATACAACATTGGTGGCGTGGTTAGAGACATGCAGGCACTCTGCGGCGCTGTGGTGCATTATCAGAGGCAGGGAGGGAGAAGAGTCAGAATTCAGGGGTACAAAGGTGTCAGATGAAGTGAATGCTTGGCAACTCATACCCTCCAACAGGCAGGAGAGCCGCTCGTCCCCTGTTTTCTGACAGGACAGATCCTGCGCAATCCACGGCAGCTCAGACCCTATTCCCGGCTTTTTACCTGCATATGCATATACAGGAGGGCTCCAGAGCACAGGGGAGGTCGTGTGCAGGTATTTATACCACTAGGAAATCCCTTTATCCATTTTAATGTTCTTTTTTTTCCCAGCAGTATTGCCATGCTGCCACAGAGCCTCCTTCCTTCCCACACAAACACAATACGCCTCCAATTAATGGGGGGTCGGGGGGAGGGGGGTGATGGGGGAAGAAGAGGGAAACCAGAGACACGATTTGACAGATATTTTCAATTAGATCTTTTGTAAAGGACAATGACCAGGAAAAAAAAAAATATATATAAAAGTATCGTAACAGTCGGTAGCAACAGAGAAGCTTAATGCTAAATAAGTTTCCACAGTTAACACCTGCCCCCAAAATCCCATCCAGGCAATTGTCTGGAAGGCAACCTGTCTGAGAGCTCAATCAGAAGTCTGCAACAGTCAAGAACCTATAGCAAAATAATCTGAATTAACCTAATTCCCAGGGCAGTTGCACAGTGATTGTTTGTCTTAACCTACAATAGTACAAATCAGAGATGTGTAAAATGGAGCAGCTGTATCCAGGAGGATATTTTTGAACAGATTGCTTTACAATAGCATGATGTGCTAAATGTTTGTCTAAGATGAACTCTTGAAAGAGCCCACAGCATCACAAAAAATTCATTTAGAGTTCCTCTTACTAATTTATACTACCACAGCACCTACAATCTTCTCCAGAAGATCCTAAGTAAAACCAGGATCTTTTCTCAAAGAAGTTGAGTGATTTTTTTTTGGCAGGAGATTGGAATTACTTTGGGTTACCCTAAAAATGATGAAAATTTCTGCAGGACACCGTAGTCACATATTTTGTGTATATGCAATAAAAGTGGAGTGTTCATTGTTTTGGTTTTTTTTTTTTTGTTTAGCTTGTTTTGGTTTGTTTTGGGTTTTGTGACCAAAGGTGGTTGGTCTTATTTTATGTAAAGATGATGATACTTTTTGTGTGTTTGGTATTCCTGACTGGTTCAAATGTCTGAACTAGAATTCTGACAATACAAACTTCAGATACACTAGGTGGGAGCAATCATACATGTCATTGCACCATTTTTCATGTATTATTGAAGAAAAGAGCTATTGCATTGAGCCATTCTGTAGAAGCCCAGTTATTATATGTACATTTGTTTTGGGGAAGGTTGTGTCTGAGATTGTTGAGAAATTTCATAAGAATTACTGCATAATGCAAATTGCACATGAGCTTTAACAGTGGTGAGGCTCTACATTCATAACCACTATCTATACATGCTCTTTCATACAGCAAAATATAAAAAAACTTCAAAATAGTTATTGCGATATTGTGGAAGATACTGTCATCAAATGAACTGCCATCTGCATTACTTTGGGCTTGGCCCAATGTAATATTAATGTCTGTGGATTCATATTAAAAATTTATTTTAATAATTTTCACCTCTGAGGTCCTTTTCTCCTTCAGTAAGGAGCACGATACATCTACCAGGGGCTTCAGCCCACATCCCTACTGGGATTTTGAAGCTATGGGAGAAAAAGAAACACTAAGAGTAACTTTACAGCCCTGTCCTTGGCAATTCTTTTTTCCCACATCCCAACAGGTAACAAATATATCACTGCAAACTCACGTCTAGATGCAAACAAGTTGTAGCCTGTCCCCAAATACGGGATGGAGCTCACTTCCATTTTTCATTTCCTCCTGAGGTGACACCATGCTAGCCACCACCTCAAATGAGTTTTTCATGCCATGGTTGTATTTACTGTTATGTTTTATAGTGCTGGATGACTTGGATTTCTATTTTTTTGTGTGTGTTTGTGCTGTACCACCTTCTTCTCATTAAGGTAAAAACTTCACTATTTTTCATTTTGACTATGACCAAGTTTCTTTAGTCATGTCCAGTTTAAAATAAAGTTGTTTGGTACAATTTTTGAGGATTCTGAATAGCTAGACTGTTACAGATCCCAGGTATTTGACAAATTTCACATGCATCAGGTGATGTATGAAATAAAGCTTGTTTCTAAAACGAGTAGCACCTCTCTTAAAGCCTTGTTACAACCCTCTGTTCTGCCAAGAAGGGCGCCTTGGTGGTGAAGTCCTGTCACACCAGCCACACTCAGCTCTTTGGCTGGGCTTCAGATTGCCTTACCCTGAGTGACCCGATGGCTCCCTATACTGTAATCTCATGGTCAGTTTTAAGGCTCTGCCTCACAGCAGAACAGTTGAGTGAAGGCTTCTGGCAGGAATTTTGGACCTGTGGCCGCTGGCTGAAGGAGGTCATTCCTTGTTTACACTTACAGGTGCCCTCAGAGCTTCAGTGGGAGTTTTCTGCCCTGATACATAGACCCCATTCTCCATTTGGATGGTGGTATGATGTCAGTAAATGTTACAGCAAAGCCCATCTGCTTCCTCAGTTAAACTGGCCTTTTGAGTGGGTGTTACTTCCATAAGGAGGAATGGGGAAAATGAAGATTTTAATGACTGAGCCCTTTTTTTACAGTCCACTGTGGGAGAACTCTGAGCTTACATTAATGTTTTCCCTTAATTCCAATCTTTATTCCATGTTAGTAGACTGATTCTTTTTCCACTGAATCTCTTCTGATTGAATCCCTGAAGAAATACCGAAGAAAGCCTTAAAAACCCCTTTGAGTTTTTGTTTAGACAGCATTAAGCTGTCTGTTTTCATGGCAAAAAGTTCCCTTGACATGGTTTTCTCAGCTTAGAAACAGCATTTCATTGTAGGCTCTCAGGACTGGCTGTGAGAGCCAGGAGAAACACCATCATTTTGCTCCATGGGAGCACAGCATCCCTGTTCCCAAGAGATGATCCCATGCTGATCAACAACATGGATTTTAAACCTCACCTTTGCCAAGCACTACATAATTGCAAAGAAAATCTGGCACAATGCAGGTCTTGGCACCATTATTCATTCATTCATTCATTCATTCATTCATTCATTCCTTTTCCCAGGTCTCCAAACTCTTTTCTGGATAAACCGAAAAATACAAGGCTTGTTTAAATAAAGACCTTGCAGAGATGGAAGTCTCTACGAGAATAATCACTATGATACTCCTACAGCTGAAATATGTCCCACTGAAACTAGCACTCACACACATTTTACATGCTATAGAGAGGTATGTGTGTGTACATATACATATATACACATGTGTAATATATATCCTCATATACATATATATACACAGATACTCATCTGTGTATATATCTCTTTTCCAATAATGCACCTTGGAGAACTTGTGGTTCTTTGGAAGTGAGCCTCACTTCTGCCTTCACTGTACAGCTTTTTCTATTTCCAATACTACTGCAATTTCCATCCTGTCACCTCGTACATTTTTGCATGTAAATATTTGTCTGTCACGTTTCATTTTTATTCAGAATACCAAAATTCCCAGTTTTTAAATCCATAATTTCGTGGTTAGTCTTCACTGTGCTGGGTATAAGCTATACCACAAATAGAAAAGAAAACTACATTTAGATTTGTTTCTATTTTTCCACTGGCAGTCTTGCAGATACACAATAAAACAATGGGTTGCATATGATCTAGCTGCATTCCAGATTCTCAGAGTCCCAACTCTACCAGGAATTTCAGTTTTATCATTCCTCTGTGTAGGGTGGTTTTTTTAATTCATGTTGCTGCTGGGACACTTCACTGCTCAGCAATCACGCAAAACTGAGGAGTCTGACCTAACAGTTCTGCATCCAAGCTCTTCCTGCACGAGGCTGTGTAAAAAGAGCATCTGCAAAACATAGTTAGGGGCCATTTCACCTGCAAAGAGACTCTAAAAGATCCTTATTGGATCAGCAAATGCACAGTTCCTCCTCTCCCCATCATCACAGTTGGGCCTCAGCTCTCAAGCAGAAATGCTTTGCTGTTGCTGCAAAGACTACTTTGGAAAGCTGGTCTGGGCAGGCCACAGGAATGGCCAGGGTAGAACCTTAAATACAGATGTATGGACTGCTCCTCAGTATCACAAGTGCCCTTTATTTCTTAGGGACTCGTCTTCACAGAGTGAGCAGCCCCAGCAATAGGTGGTATCAAAAGGAGCTGGAAGTGTTGAGCATCACAAAAAGACAAGTCTGAGAGAGATTTCAGTATGTCTCAGAGGGCAAGTATTACACATACCAGTATTATCACACAAAGCCAGCGACCTGGATGGAAATAAGCACTAGTGATATAATTGGAGATATAATTGTAATTTTTGCAGCATTATAGTATTTTCGGTAGTTCGCAATTCCTCCAAAGATCTGCACATTTACACAATTCTTCCCTTTGTTTTTGCTATCCAGAAAGATCTTTAACTGAAATGACAATGCTCATGTTATCAAAATACCTAAAATATAGAGGGATATCACAGATTTATGGTTTACTTCCCACACTGTAAATGAAAATGACATATCTAAGTACATGTCACTGTGCAAAGGAAAACAAAAAATCTTCTTTCTTAGGTAAGACATAAGTTGATTAACTAACTGTCAGTGTAAGCCACGGATAGTTTCACTCACAACTGACAGGGAAAGAGGGTGGATTAAACATTTCCAAGGAAGACACTTTCCCAGGGACCAGCAAAATGCAATTTGCTTTTAAAAACCTATAGAAAGCTTATCTGGTCTTGCTGCCAAAGTCTGGCTCACGGGAGTCTGAGTGAAAAACATGTGTAATTGCATTAGAGCAAACAATAGACTTTAAGCCTGATTTAGACCAAGTGGGACTACTTGATAAAGACCAAAAAGAACGTAAGATTACTCGATAAAGACCAAAAAGAACGTTAAGATTACTTGTTTCTCCAAACCACCTGTCCTGAACGTTAGATCATCTCTGTGGAAAAGAGCCCCCTGGACACCCAGCACAGACATGATCTGTTATCTGCAGGGAAAGGTGGTGTTCCCA